CAGCTGTTGGAACATCTCCAGAAAATTTCTTGCTGAGTATGGAGAGTGTTTGTTCTCAAGATGTTCCAGGATCCGGCAGTGTGCGTCTGCAGTGGGAGCCGGTAGGGACCGAGGACGAGTCAGTGGCAGATTTTGCCGTGACTGATGTGTTGGAGCTTGGGAGAGCTTCAACAGGCCTTTCAGTTGTCTGATGAGAGGGCCGCTGCAACAGGAGAGCTGAGGAAGATTACTCGATGTACAAGCAATCGCGGCGGATGGCAGTTGATGACTATCAAGCCTCCAAGTGGGAGAATGTTGGGTTTGTGGAGGCTTGGGCTTAATTTGTAGGCCCGGCCCGTTTGTTGTAACCCTAGTTGCGCTCTTCCTATATATATTGCATACTTGTACTTGTAATCGACACCACAAGTGAAATAAGAAAATCCTCCTGTTGCAGCCGTGGATTAGGGAAACCGAACCACGTTAAATTCTTGTGTGTCGTTTGTGTTCCGTTTCTCTCTTGATTCTCGCAGATATCTGTGTGTGTTGTGTGTTTAATTCCCAACACATCGTGCTGTTGAAGTCCTTTGACATATGCAACGGCGTACTTGCTGGTAAGCAGGGGATCTTCCCCCGGAGTTTCCTGGCCCCTCCCCCACCTCGGGTCCCTGAATATGTTAAGGTTTGGTGTGAAAAATGTCAGACCTGCCAATCCAAGATTGTGCGTTGCTCTAGCCTCCGTCGATATTGCCTGCATCAAACGCAAACATGAAATGCAACACAAACTCGAAATCCAACCCATTACTCCAAATTCAAATTCTAATCAAATTATATATTTTTTCATTTCTTTTTATGGTTTATAATTAAAAAAGGCATTCAACTCTTGGACCGATAAAAATAAATGCGTAAACAATCATAAATAAAGATAATGCTCGTAATTGCAATAACCTACAAAAAAGAAAAGAATAAAGAAGAGGAAACTCAAAATGATTCTTTGTAATAAAGCATTTTTCTCAATTTATTCTTAAATAAGTTCTAATTACCTACACAGTCCTTTATAATTGGGATTTATTCCTCAAGTAGTCCTTTGCAAATAATGTTACTCAAATAATGATTAATTAAAGGATAATTTGGTATTTCTATCATCTAAATTTAAAATTATATTCTCTAAATGGTCATATCTATACAATTAAATGTAAAGTTAAAAAAATATATTGACTATACATAATCCATTAGTTATTAAAAACTTATAAAAAATATTCTAAAATTCAAATCAAATACACGACTTTAATTAGAAAAAACCATTTTGGAAAGCACTTCTTTAGATTTGATCATCTTAAGAACTTATTCTAAATTTAGCTGATAAAAAAACCAAAATACCCCCAATTAGTGATCATTTGAGTAATACTATTTACGAAAGACGATCTAGGGAATAAATCTCAATTATAGAGGATCATCTAGATAATTAAAATTTATTGAAGAATGATTTGTGAAAATACTTTTTTAGAGAGGACCATTTTAAAAATTTACCCAATAAAAAATAAAGAAAAAATGGGGTCACATCGAAAAGTACACATTTTCATAACTAAATTACCACACATTTACTCGTAATTTATTACAACTTAATAAATTATACACTGTAACACTTATTAAATTACCACATATTTACTCGTAATTTATTACAACTTAATAAGTTATATGTTACCACACTTTTTTCAAATTTTATTACTCGTAATTTATTACAACTTAATACTCCATCCGTCCCTAAATAGATTACAATAAAATATTCTTGTCACATCTTGTTTTGTAGAACTTTTGACGTAGTTTTTTAATATGTAACTTTAATATATTATTGATATACCAATTTATAAATAAAATGATTTCAAAAAGTAGAAAATTTTACTCGGTAACCCGCAATTTGTAATCAAATTGGGAACGGAGGAAGTAAGTTATATGCTAGCTAGTTTGGTCTAGTCTAAATTTTATACAGAGTATGATTTTTAAATTTTACGGGACTGACCTTAGCAATGGAGTGAAACAAGGTCACATTGAATGACGCGGCAGTGAGGATGGGGGCGGGGAAGCTGGTGGAACCCGGGACGAGACTGGTGTAACCGGGGAGCTTGATCAGGTCCACCCCGTGCAACCCCTCGGACCACCATTGGTATTTGGGGATCCCGAGCCGGGTCACGCTGCTCGCCTCCGTGACCAGGAACGAAATCTTCTCCCGCAAACTCAACCTTTTGAGGAGATCATCCACTCTTGTCTTCACATCCAACGACCCGTCGCAGAAAGTGAAATTCCTATACGCTGGAACCTTGTCGACGTCGCACGCAAATGTGGGCTCCTTTTGCGCCGAACCCGTGGAAAACGTCGCAATGAGGGGGAAGAAGAAGAAGAAAAAGAAAAGGGAGGAGAAAGCTTCCATTGTTCTCCCTTGTAATTTTAATGCAAATATTTTTTGGGCTTGCATTGCTAGTTGCTAGTTGCTATTTGCAATATATGTTGATCACTGCAAGTCTGCAGTTTTTGTTACAAGTATATTTGCAAATATTTGTATACATATACTGATCTGATATAGTGATATTATGTAGAATGTTAATTCTTTTATAGACCTTAGCCTACACAAGTCTTACATTTATGTTTAAAAAACGTACATAGAGTGATTTGTTTATTTCTTGATGACCAGGGTCCAGAATTGAATTGACCAACTGTTACTTTAGTGTCAATTTAATAAAGAACCGAACTTTGGCTTCATTAACTCACTATCTCCATTACATTAGTTCATTATTCATTAGTGCAACTCCTATTATTAATTAATTATGCCACTAATTCAGTTACTCTTTTAAATTAGAACCAAAAAATTAACATATGTTAATCGTGTAAATGTTGCCCAAATAAAAAAGAGTAATTTACCTAAACAGGATTAAAATATAATGACTTTCTCAATATATAAGCATATGTTTTTATTTCCCAGTGTAGGAACATTGGTCATTATCTATTAGTCATTATTCAACTAAATGTCCAGCATCACTTGGACATTATTCTTCTCACTAGACATTATTAAGTCCTATTTAGGGAATAAAAAAGTTTAAGTCCTACATTGAGAAATGACTTATGTTTTAGTTTTGTTCACTGCAAATTTTACATTAAAAAAATATCAGACCCATAAAACTGTCTCTCCGTTGAAACTGCCTGGGGGTTTGACTTTTCTAGCGGACATCATTGACTCTTAGACCACTGGAAATGGTAGCAAATGCCCAAGGGCGTTAAGTGAGTTTTAACGCATGGGGGCGTTAAACACCGCCCCCCTTTACCGTCATGAGGGCGTTAACAAGTTTGCGTTAAATCTTTGACGCAACATTTCTCCCTCTTTCAATGGTTCTCCCTCCCCCAACGGCCATAATTTGGACCGTTGGGCATTAATTTAAAAAAAATATTTTCAATATTATAAATACACTTATTTTTAACACAACAAACACACACAACTTATTCTCATTATCTTCATAATTCCTCTAAAATATATTATATTTCTTTTAATTATCTCTACAAAATATTCGAAAAATGAGATCATCATTTTATTCAAATCTTATTATATTAATGTAATTTTTTATTGAATGTAATTTTTTTAATTAATGAGTTATTTCCGTTTAAATTTAATTAAATAACAATATTTATTAATTTAATTTTAGAAGATGTGTATTCAAAAATGTAAAAAATAGAGGTTTGAAGCCCATATCGAGTGAAATTTTGGTGTAAGTTAAAACTGATGTGACAAAGAGAGAAAGTTTGAAGCCCCGGTTTGAAGCCCGGGGCTTCATGACCATTTCCAGTGCTCTTAAGAGATAAAGAATTGGTGGCGCCCAAAACCTCCTGGGCGGTGATTATGGCATTAAGAAGTTAGATTTCAAAAAAAGTACTCTGTATAAAACTTAGAAATGGATTATTCTCTCTGTTGAGAATTATCTTTTTTTTCACTATTCAAAAATCACTTTTGTTTATTTGTGTAATTTTATTGATTACTTGATAAAATAAAATATTTTTGTAACTGCTTGTTTTCTAGAATTTTTGACGTAATTTATAAATATATACTCCTTCCGTCTCAAAAAGATCGTTACGTTTCATTTCTTTGCGCATCACAAAAAGCAATGCTACTCACATCTAAAATTTCTAAAATTTACCATATTTACTCTTTATTATAAGATGAAATTGTTTTGAAAGTTTTTTTGGCATTTGAGATGATATAAAAATATTTTAAGGGATGCGCAAAGAAATGAAACGTAACGATCTTTTTGGGACGGAGGGAGTATGTTTTAATTTATTTTTAATTTATATACCAATTTTTAAATAAAATGAATTGAAAAAGTTTAAACTCTTACTTTGTTTTGTGTAAAGTGAAGATAATTATGAGATGGATAGTAAGCAACAAAAACAAAAAAGTAAAAATATATTTGATGAGTGAAGGTCTGTAAAATATACTGTGGACCTTTGGTTCATCAAAGATACACACTAAGGCTCTATTCTTTTGGCCAAAAAATATTGAGATATTTACTTAAATAGGATTAAAACATAATGACTTTCTCAATATAGGACCATATGTTTTTATTTTCCAATGTAGGACCTTTAATCATTATCAAATAGTCATTATTCAACTTAATGTCCATCATTATTGGACATTATTCCTCCCACTAGGTCATTATTAAGTCCTATTTAAGGAATAAAAAAGTTCCAGTCTTACATTGGAAAAATCATTATGTTTTGATCCTATTTAGTGCAAATTTCACAAAAGTATTACGTTGTTATTACTTCATGATGCGAAAGTTTTTCGATACGTCATTTGATACCAAAAATCCCGATCAAAAAGATGTAAATGAAAATGAAATAGAATATGGGAAAAAGTAAAGGAGTGAGTGTAATGGTATAGTACAAGATGTCGAATCCATGGGGATAGCGTAATTGGTTAGAAATTGAGCGTAAAGTGTAACTAAACACCAAAATTGAATCGTATAATGGGAATCAAGGCCGAAGAAAAAGATAAGAGAGTGAATGATATACAAGTGGAAACTAAACTAATGCAAAGAAATGCAAGCAGTAAATGAAAAGTAAGCCTAGATTAGGAATTTCATGCTAACAAAGCTATTATCAAAGGAATAGAGGGAAATAGGAAAACGACTAGAATGCGAGCAAATCATCAAACAAGCTCTTCAAGTATCCTCCACTTCCGTGGCAGGACTTGAGAGTAGAGGCACGCGGCTAAGGTTCAAAATTTTGATTCCTCGGTGATTTAGAATCCACACTCCGAAATACAAGAATGCCATCATGGCCAACAATAACATCCAAGCATAGATATAGCATAATCCATACAAACAACCTAGAGCAATATCTCATACTCTCTCCGTCTCAAAAAGTCCGGCACGTTTCGAGAAAACCGTGTCCCGTAAAGTTCGTTACATTTCTATTAAAAAACCACTTTTACCCCTTACTTTTTTATACCCTACCTATCACATCAAACTTTTTTTCTAATAATCTACCTATTACATCCTACTTTTACACATCACATCAAGGGTATTTTTGAAAAGTCAACACCAAAATATCTCTCCCTTAATTTCTCAAAAAGTCAATATGTATCAATCTTTTTGGGAAGGAGGGAGTATTTCACACTAATTCATCAACAATAGGCACAAATCAACAATCCATCTCTAACCTAGGCTAGAAAATCTAGCATGCTTAAACTAAAGAGATGCATAAAAGGTAATAGAGAAACACATAAACAAAACATGAAGGAGATGAAGTAAATAAAAGATAACACTAAGGAACAAGAAAATAAACATTCAAGTGTTAGAGTAATTCTTTGGAGAGTAGAAACAGTTTGAAGAAAATGAGAATTGTTGGAATCAATTGAAAAAAATATGAAGAAACTAGGAGAAAGTGGAAAGAACTGAAAATATTTGAAAAGAGCTGGAAAAAACTGGAAGTTAAAAGTTTAATCTCTAAATAACAGACTCTAAAAGAATTAAGATGAATGTATAGTAATTTCATCAAACACCCATATTCTCTTTTTTAGTGTAATCATTTCATACATGTGAGAGGCGGAATACTTTGCTCGTTCCTAAAGAAGTTCTGAGGGTCAATCATCGTTTTAGCCCTAACTAACCTATCAAAATTGTTCTTGAAATATTTGACACCCCAAACCTCAGCATCTTCATAGGTTGAACAATTGACATTATGGTTTTGTCCAATGTCAAGATCCCTATAGTTCACAAATGCTTCCCTTGGAGACTTTGAAACATATGGCTCCAAGTATTCATATAACCTCCTTATCCAATCCGTGCGTTCTTTTTCTGCTTTACCACCCTTTTGATTCCAACTCACAAACTGGTGGATTTTGTACAAAGTCCCAGCTCTGTGAGGAAACGGAGTTGAAGATTCCGTTATCTCTTCCATCATTCCGCCGTACGGCGTTAAAATCATTAAACCCGAGTTGTTTTGACGGAAGAAATCCCAAATCCCTTCCCACCCTTCTACGGGAATCGGTTTCTTCACAAAGTCCGATTTGCCCTTGAAGTAATTCGGCTTCCCGTCGTTACCGGTGGCATTTAACAAGTCTGTTAGGGGTGAATTCGGAAAATCGTGAATGTATAATACCGATTCTGCCCAACTCAACTCTTTTAGGTTTTGCCTTGTCAGCCCTAACTCCGGTAACCTCTGGTTCAGAATTGGGAGCAGTTTTTCGATTGGTCCGAGGAATAATGAGTTGAAAACGACAAAAACCTTCCCACTCAGTCCAAATGCAAAGAATCTAATGAATAGCTCCCTAGGTAATGTCGGCGCAACTGTCTGCCATTTATGTACGAGGTTTGTCATGTCTGGATTGACGACTCTGTGGACGCTGAAAACCGTGACGTTTTCCGGCACGTCGACCAAGTTCAGTTTCCACGCAAGAATGACGCCGAAAGTGTTCCCTCCCCCTCCCCTGATGGCCCAGAACACGTCCTCCCCCATCGACTCCCGGTCCAGAATTCGCCCGCGCACGTCGACTAGGCGGGCGTCCACCACGTTGTCCGCCGCGAGGCCATACTTTCTCATCATTGCGCCGTATCCTCCCCCGCTTATGTGCCCGCCCGCGCCGACCGTCGGGCAGATGCCCGCCGGGAAACCGAGAACCCTGCTCGTCTCCGAAATCCTATAGTAGAGCTCCCCCAGAGTGGACCCCCCTCCGACCCACGCCGTCTTTCTTATTGGGTCTATAGTGATGTTCTTGAAGTGAACGAGGTCGAGAATCAAGAACTGATTCCCGAAGAAGCTCGTGTGGGAAAGTCCTTCGTAATCGTGGCCGTTCCCGCGGACCCGCACCTGCAAGTCCTGCTCTTTTGCACAGAGAATCACGTCTTGCACCTCGGACTCGTGCCTGGGAGTCACTATGACCAGAGGCTTTGGAGTGTCCGAGGTGTTGAACCTGGTGTTTTGGATGCGGGACCCGAGGACCGACAAGAAGGAGGGGTCATTCGCGGTGTAAATGTTGCCGGAAACGGAGGGTTCGTTCCCCAAATTGCGTGTATTCATGCATTGTCGGAAACCGTAGACAATGTTGGCGGCGGAGGTGTTGTATGCGGCGGAGATATGGAAGAGCAAAGAGAGAAAGAGCCAAAATGTGAGTTGAGTCTCCATTCTTTTCCTTTATGTTGGGACTTAAAATTGTTTGGGATGTTACATGGTCTTATAAATGCCTCAACTCTCTATGGAATTAAATTCAAACGGTATTGTTAAGTGTATAGTTCAGTTTAATTTATTTATTTATTTATACACTGAATGCAATAATGAGACATTTAATTAGAGATTTTATGTATACATTGGAATTAAACAATAATAATGTCGCACATCATGCACTGCATAAACGTTATTAGTACTACATGATCTGAGAGTTTCCCATCATATATATCCAAGTATCAAATGAACTTCTTTGGAGAACATTATTTTAGATTAATATTAATATTTTGAATAAATTTTTAATTGTATATAGATTAACTTTAAAAATGTTAAAGTTAAACGTTGTAATTAGAAAAACTTTTGAAAAAGCTAAAGCTAAACGCCGAATGATTAGTGGCAAATGTGCCCATTTCACCCTTAAACTTGGTATCGACATAATGTAAATGAATGGATTGAGCATACTTAAGAGCAAAAAAGTTGAACGGGATAGATCAAGATCAAGCCGAGAAAGATTGATATCGAAGTGGTCCTTAAGACCGGCCCAACATTTGATTCTTTAAATTAGGTCATGAAAGACTAGACCGGAGACATGAATGGTGAACTAAGACTAGTTTGATTGTTTTGGGAATACTAGTTTGATCATTTGTTGAAAAATACTTATGTAATTTTTGTTCAAACTCCATCCTACGAATATACAGAGTGATACTTTATATTACTCTGAACTTTTTTATAAATTTACAAATATGACATTACAAAATTAGAAAATTTCAAAGACAATATATATATATATATATATATATATATATATATATATATATATATATGGAAGTATATACCCCATACAAATAATAAATGAGTATATAATAAAAAAACTTGTTGCATAATATTTTGTACAAATCGACAGAAGTATAGAAATAAATAAAATAAAAAGACAATCAAAAGTAAGACGTTATAGTTTTTTTAATTTGAATATTAAAATATCCCATAAAAACAAAACAAAATGGTTTGATTTAACCGGGTGTGAATCGGACATGGATCAGTCCTAACCAGACTAACCGGTCCAAAAAAGTTCGTAGTTGTTTCAAAAAAATGAGACCGATCAACTTCATCTTGAATAGTATTGACATTGAAAATTATACTCTATATGTTCCAAGATAGAACCATGTATGTTTTATTCCTTTTACGGAGTATGACACATATTTTCCTATGATCTGCTATATATGTTCTCATTAGCAATAAGTGTTAGATAATGATTGATTACACGAATGACTCTATAAATATGGTCATTAACAATAAGTGTTAGATAATAATTTGATTATTTCAATGAGTATTCAAATTATTTTTAATAATGTCATATTCTACTTGAATTGTTTAATTATAGGTCATTCTTTTCAAAGACAAAGTATTCTAGAACTTTTCATTATCAAACGTTATAGTAAATAGAACCGGTCCTATTTAGAAAAAAATGATATGTTTAAATCTTATTTGTGTAAATTACCCTTAACATTTCTAAAAGACGGATCCTGTCTGACCGACCCGGTCCTTATTCTCTTTCAAAGTGAAGATCGACAAGTTTGGGCTTTGGCCTTTGATCAGTTTTTAATGCTTTGCATTGGCCACAGGGACCATTTCAATCAATAGTGCCTCTCTTACAGGATATGGACAAGACCTATAAGAGGCTAGATCCATATATTGTCACAACTAAGGTCCAACTTCTACCAGTTTCATCTAATTCTTTTCAAATCTTTCCAACATCTTTCAGTTTTTTCCAGCGACTTGAAAAAAGTATTCATATTATACGGAGTATATCTAAATTTATAACATACCACCCCAAACATTGACTAGAATGGGTTCTTTTTTATTCAAAATTAGAGTCTCTTACATATTTATTTGAATGATTATTTAATTGAGTGACTTTTTAACACTTTCATTCTTCTGATATTTTCCAACTCTTTTTTATTTTTTCCAATATTTTGTCAATTTCTTTTAACTCTTTCCAGTTTATTTCATTATCCAACTCTGAAATTACAACCCAAAAACATGGCCAAGTGTTTGGCATATATTTTGTATTGACGACTCTTTGAGTTTTTTTATAGAGGGCTTTTGCACAATTAACTCTTGTGTTGTGCTCAGAAGAAGCACAATTGGTTAACAAAATATAAGCACCAACGGCGTTTGATATTTAAATTAAGTGGTCTACCATAAACCCCTATGTCCATACATAGAACACAACACAAGTAAAAAGTGACTCTTCTCTGCTAAATTTGATAGTTTCTTTTCTTTGCCATGGAGAGAAATGCCATTGTTATTTCCCAAAAAAAACCAACAATGTAAAACATAACGATAGTGTATTGTTGTGACTTGTGAAGCCCAGCATATATGTGATCACAAAACACAACACACTTCCAATACGGCCATTTATTGTGCCCGTTTGGGAAAAGCTTCCGCAATTAGTTTTAGCGTTTTGAAAAAGGCTATCTAATGGTGGCGTTTAGCTTTAGCATTTCCAAAGTTAATCAGCACCATTTTAAAATTACCCAAAACATTGTTCCCAAACAAGACCATCGTGTCAATGAGATTCAGAAAGGGGCAAAGTAGATCACAAAAGATTTTACCTGTAGAAACAGCAACGAGTATAGCAAAGCGACCTCATCATCTTACTCGACGTCGAACCCTTTATCCTGGAGTTCAGAGATGACTTCATTCCTCATCCTCACCCAAAGCTTGAGAGCCTCCTGCTCCATCTTCTGGTCCTGCAATGCTTTCTCATAGTTATAAGAATCTTTATCCGACTCAATCAGCCCCTTGGGCCCAATGGTTGTACCGATCATCCCCCCATTCGCAATGAACTCTTCCATGGCCTCATCATCCCCTGGATACGGAAACCTTCGCCGCTCATAGAGGTGGGCCAGCTCCCTTTCTTCTTTGGGCTTAGGTTTCAGGGTCCACCACCCCAGCGGCGACGTCTCGTTATAAACCCATGCCAGGGCGGCAATTGTGTAGGTGCACAGCAATGCCTTGCTCAATTGCTGCCAGAAGTAGCGGTCCTCCTTCCCTAGCCCGATTTTCTCCAATATTTTCTCCTTGCGGAATGATTTCAATGCCACAAACCCTACAAAAAGAAAAACAAAGAAACCCAGTAGAATACCACAGAACTAGGGTCTGGGAAGAGTAAAGAAAACCCTACAAAGAAAAAATCATATGGATCAGTTCCTCTTAATAATTACAGTTGAGTGTTTCCTAGTGTGCATCCACATTGGACCTGACAACCAAGCTTTAACACAATTCTGAGACTTTGGGTAAAAAAATTAAAGATTTAAAATTGGCAGATAAATGTGCTTACCCGTTTTAGCATCGTGAAACCGCTTTCGAACCATTGCTTCTAGGAATCAGCACTGGAGGTTTAGGTGTTCCTTGGCAGGAAGTCTAAGAACAGAACGAAGATACATAAGTTTGGTCAGCCTTAGAATAAATATCAGCCCTTAAACAAATACTGAGTAGTATGACTTGCAATAATACAAACTTTAAAGTTTGTGTTTGATTTCAAAAACTATCTCCAAACTAATTCTCTAACTTTATAAGTTCGCTTCTTGCCTTCTTTATTACACGATGAACCAGGGGACGCCAGAATATTACGTTGGGGACTACAGGATGAACCATAGGATGTGGAAGACTACAGCAGAAGACTACATCGACTGTTACGCAATGGATCAAACATTTAATTTGTTTCTGTAAGAAAGCCCAAACATTCGATTTCAATCTAATGAATCTATCATACCAAAACTCATATCTTTTGAATCTGACTCTTGATTCCAACCTGATACGTGAATTGTACCCAAATGACACTCAGTTCTAATGCTTGAATGCCCGGTTTGCTTTGTTATATTTTATTGTTAATGGGGCATTGTATTCTGCATATAAAATTCAAGGTTTTAAAAGATTCAAAAAACAACAATTGGTGGTTTTCCATACATATAAGATTCAGTTCGGGGCCGGGAATAGCGTTAGCATTTTGGATAAAATTATCACTTTGAAAACACTAACGTTAACGCTATTTTAATGCTGCCCGTTGATAGTCTTTTCAAAACGCTAACGTTATTCCCAAACAGGCCCTAAGTGAACATAGTTTTTTTTGCTGCCCAATACAACAAAATCTAGCCAATTTTATAGTATACCCTTACCACAATTTGGGATAAAGGGATTGAAGTGGTTTTGTTCAGAATAATGGATTAAGCTCCAGATTTGGTACTCAGGTTATATTCTCTTAATTTGAAATTTAACAATTTCATCCATAATTCACATTAATATCATTTTTAGGCAAAAAAAAAACAATGAAATTAACCATTCCATTCCCCAATTCATATTAATATCATTTCACATAACAATATTTAGGGAAAAAGTAATCTAGAAACTTGGAAAATAAACTTCGATTATAAGCTCCTTAAGAACAAGAAGATACGAAGAAAAGCAGATTTACATTACCTGGAAGGAGTGGATGCTGCGGCGCCGCTGCCTACCTGATGCTAGACTGGAGGGCGGCGCTGATGGATGAGGCCTGTGGCGGAAGACGCTGTCTGCGGAGGAATCTGTCTGACTCGCTCGCCGGAGACCTGGAGTCGCTAAGGAAAAGGGGAATCGGGGAAACCGGTAGTCGGGAATTCGAACGAGGGGAATGAGAGCAAGAAATATGGCTTTAACGGGCCGGATCGGAAATGTGGGACCTTTTTTGGACCAGTTAGTCGAGTTCACTTTTAATAGTATTTCATTTCAATTTATGTATTTTGATTCCAAAATTTAAAATTTTGAATTTCATATGACAAGCCAAGCTGCATGGATTTTAAATCGAGTTTTGTTAAGAATGATAAAAAATTTGACTTAAATCCAAATTCAAATTTTTTAATTTTTCCAAACATGAAATTTGAGCTAAATCCAGATTTGAAATTCAAATCGATATACCCAAACATTCCATTAAAGGAATTAGAACTTGTAAATAGGTCCTTAGGATCAATTTCAACTTCGATTACGTCAAGTTTAGGCTACAGAGTATTTGGTATTTTTTAATCTTAGTTTAAAATTGTATATATATATAACACAATGTCATCGAGTTTGAATCAAATTTAACATGTTATAAAAAAATTTTGAATGCTTCAATTCAAACTAGAACTTTTATTTTTACAATAAAAATAAAAAATAATATATATATATATACACACACACACATATATTAAAGTTATAAAAAAAGTGAGATAACAATATGTTTTTATTAAAAACTCCTTTAGAAATAAAAGTTAATACAATAGAAAAACAATAGGAATAATAATAATAATAATAATAATAATAATAATAATAATAATAATAATAATAATGCTATGTACTATGTAGTATTATAAAAGAGGCCGGTTCAAATGACATTGAGAACCAATGTCATGGGATGACCCGGGGGTGCTCCGATGCCCCGTTCGTAAAATTGACAGTTCCTACCCCCCATAACCCTCCCGGTAAACCCCCTCACCACGCCCCGACCCGAACGCGACCCCCCACCACCTTCAATTGCATCCCCCAAGTTGATTTTGACTTTGGAGTCAAAATTTGACTCCAAAGTCATTGGTTCTCAATGTCATTTGAGCCAATGACTCCAAAGTCATTGGTTCAAGTTTTGACTCCAAAGTCAAAATCAACTTGTGGGGTCAATTGAAGGGGGATGAGGGGTTTGCCGGGGGGTTAGGGGGCAAGAATCGTCTATTTTACGAACGGGGCACTAGAACACCCCCAAGTCATCTCATGACATTGGATTCCAATATCATAGGAACTCTACCCTTTGTTTAAAAAGTACTTATAAGCTTTTACTTCATGAAATAATGTTTCTTGTGTTTGGGCATTTAGCATTCTGATTTTGGTTATAAATTATAACTTCTGACGTCTAAAATGGACTCTAAAAATGCCTTTAAGCAAAATTTAAAATATCTGCTTTCTGTCATGAATCTTAGGAGGTGTTTGTTTTTTCTGCAGGAAAAGGTCTGCAGTCTGCGAACCACTACTGTAGACATCTGCAGGAGAAGTGGTGGACCGAAGGTCTGCGGACTGCAAGAAGAAGACTATTTGTTTTTTAATGTCTGTAGACTACTATATAAATTAATGGTGGTAGTGTACGATGGTGGTGTATGAACGATTGTGGTGGTGGTGGAGGGTGGTGGTGAAGTGTGGTGGTGGACGTTGACGGTGGTGGTGGTGGCGGTGGATGGTGGCGGTGGTGGTGGACGACGATGGTGATGGACGGTGACGGTGATGGTGGACGGTGGCAGTGG